GCTGAGAAATACAAAGTGGAGGACGAGCAGCAGAAGGACAAAATCGCTGCCAAGAACTCGCTGGAGTCCTTCGCCTTCAACATGAAGAACAGCCTGCAGGACGAGAGCATGAAGGGCAAAATAAGTGAGGAGGAGCAGAAGATGCTGCTGGAGAAGTGTGAGGAGACCATCAGCTGGCTGGAGAACAACCAGCTGGCTGAGAAGGAGGAGTTCCAACACAAGCAGAAGGAGCTGGAGAAAGTGTGCAACCCAGTCATCAGCAAGTTGTATCAGGGAGGGAGGCCTGCAGGCAGCTGTGGAGAGCAGGCAAGAGGAGGCTCCCAGGGGCCCACTGTTGAGGAGGTGGACTGAGGGGGCCTGAACCTGGACTCTGGTAGCAATGGGACTGTTTAACATGCAACTGTAACGTCATGTTTTTTTGTTTTCATTCTTAAGATGTTTATAACTAAAGATGAAATTTATATGTTTTTATATTCTTGCATTGCTAGATTGTGCAATAAAGATGGTTGGTAAATACAGCTTGCTTGAATCATCAGATCTTTGCACAATATCAAACCAGAGATTATTAATACTGTGTTTCATTCATATATGTGAGGTAGAAATATTTAAAATTAAGAACATCTGAACTTGTTAATATGGAAATGAATTTGTTTGAGCATCAAAATCAGTGGTGCAGTTTGCAGAAGCACCACTAGATGTCACAATTTAACTGCTTTCAGAGTCTTTCTCATTCTCATTGAGACATACAGGCTTGTAAACAATATGTTAACAACTATGACCAACTGTCAGTTTATTTTCCAGCCAGTTGTTTTTCAGCATCGACTTAATGTACATTTTAAAGGGTGTCAGTGAAATAATGTTCAATAAATAAAACTTAAATGTCCAGATGTCAGTGTCATCAAACCAAAACAGATAAGGAGACAAGTGCAATCCAGACATGACATTCCATATATACTCCTGTATGATGTCTGTGCAGTGGAAGTCAAAGTATTCAGAACATTACTTTGGTAGGAGTTCCTATAAAAGCAGAAGTAGAAGTTAGGCATTGAAAGCAGATGCTGCCTGAAACTGTAAAATGATTAAACAATACATATTGGAATATTATTTCTTATGCATTAATGTGTAAACAGCTTCTTCATTCTTCGTTATTTTATATAAAATTGCACCTCATAGGTATTTACATCATGGATTAATATTTTGAGTGTTTTCCCAATTCTTTGATCTTTTGGTGTATAAAAATTGAAAATAAATAAATGATGACCTTCACAGTGATCATTTTACTGACTAACAAAATAACAAAAAATGTCACTTTTGAGAAGGTTGAACCGTGAAACTCTTTCTGATTTTGGCAGCGTGCCGCGGATGGTTATCGTGCTTGAATATTCCTCTTCTGCCAGCCTTCTACAGATTTAGAGTTATTATCATGGTACCATTTATAAACATCATCTCCCCAACACATTTTGCACTCACACAGTCCCGTAGCGTCACACTCCCACCTGATTTCCTAATCATCAGGACTATGCATTCACTGTGGTGGTCCTGGTCAGGTTCACACTGACCATGCTGGAGTCCATCTGAGCCACATAAATTTATTCTGGTCTCATCTGACCAAAGAATGTTCTACCAACATTCATGAGGTTCCTTTTATGTTCTTTAGCAAGTTAGCAGCTAGAACTTCAGCACTGAACAGCAAGCAAATGGGTTTTTCTTGGATGCTGTCCTTAGAATTTGATGTGCGGTGTACTTCACACTGTCAGAGCTGCACAGAAACTCTGATTTCCATTGATAACCCTTGTGAGCCAAGTGGGAAACAGCTGTCATCTGTTTTTCACAGCTTGTGGAAGCAGTTCACTGTCCGTGGAGTCATTTTAGGACGACGACCACTGCAGCTCTGATTAGTGGTACTACGGCTCCTAAACCTCCTGATTACTGCTGCTAGTGTGTTTCCACTTTTGATTTAGACAACTATTTGTAGTTATCTTCCTTGATCCTTTTCCATCTTTGTCAAGCCTCACAAGCAGATTACTCAGTTCCTCTGGCAGTTCTTTTCCATGTGGAGCCACGATGAGGACATGAAGCTGGACATAGGTTCAGAACTGAGTCCTGCTGTTCACGGCTCATTGTGGAACCACGTTCATGCAGTTTGGCTGATTGGAAATCACAGGTGGACTCACATTTCTTTCACTGAGTTGAGGCCTGTATTCTTTCTGAGGTATTTACTTCTGTAGAAAACAACTAGACTTCTTTTTTGGTCTTGAAGACATTTCACCTCTCTTCCAAAAGCTTTCTTCACTTCTACAACCTTTGGTCAACCAGTGTTCTGGTTTATCTACAGACATTCATGGTGCATCTGTTAATGCCATCTCCCCAAAACCTTCTGCCTTCGTGCGGCCCCATATCATCATGATACTACCACCTCCGTGCTTCACTGTCAGGACTATGCATCCACTGTGGTAGTCCTGGTCAGGTTCACACCAAACATGCTGGAGTCCATCTGAGCCAAATACATGTATCTTGGTCTCCTGTGATAAAGGTGAAATGTCTCCAAGAATCCCCCCAAAAAGCCAGTTGCTTTCTACTGGAGCATTTAGGATTTTTACGACTTTGATGACTGAGAGTCTGCACAGACTTCTTGTGTATTTGTTTCTGATTGTTCATAGGAGTACGTTCTCGGCTTATTGTGAGCTCATGTAGTCCTGAATCCTTTGACATTTCAGTGTCATGTACTGGGGTGTACTCACTTGTGTTGTATACTGTAGTAAATGTCTGAAAAGTGCAGCGCCTCATTATGAAACGTGTCTAACAGACTCACAGTCTTGATAATAATCATTAAATGGAGCCTCGGAGCGTTTGTACCAGATTATTAATATAATGTAGGTCGGTTTATTTATACCGTTTTATTTGTGAAGCGGAAAGCTCAGCGGAAACAGCGCAGCGCTGATCCCGCCCAGCAGCCTGAGCCATCTTGTGTTTAGCAGAACAAAAACGGAGGAAGGAGCCGGAGGATGGGGCGCAGATGTTAGGACGAGTCTCCAGACTGGGAACCACAAAGGCTCGGTGCAGCGGGACAGTATGCTCGGCAGTGTAGCACCGCGGACAAACGGCAGCCACACCCCGGAGAACCGCTAATGTTACCGTTAGCTCGAAGGCTATTGAAGCTAAGCTAGCCAATTAGCTCAGGCTAGTAACCCAGGGACGTTAGAGAGAGGCGGCTTAAAGTTTCTCTCTGACCCCGCTGAACCAGCCGCTGAGATTCGTAAATAATTTCACCACAACCAGGAGGGACCTCGGAGGAGATGGGCCGGACGCGGTGTTGATTATCTGCCGAGAGGAACCCCGGGCTATGAGGATTGGGGCTAGCTGCTAGCTCGGCTGCTAACAGTTGTTTTTCGTTCCTGAGCGGAACCACAATAAGCCGCGGTGAGTAATGCTACACAGCTAGCTGCCCTGCTAGCGGCGCAGCTAGCTAACCTAGTTAGCTTTTCCAGAGGTTTTCAAACTTGGGTCCGGGGACGCCCGATGGTCTTTGGTTTGTGCTCAGAGGCCTTCAGTAAAATAAGAAATAAAGCAAGTTTACTGCAGTTTTCGGCTTGGGTTTAGATCGTTTGTGTTGAACAGTTTTAGCTGTGTTTATTGTTACAGTTAGCGGAATTTAACGCCGTGAAAGATGCTCAATTCAGTGAGAGTTCCGCAACAAACAGCAACGTCCTGCGGGCTTTTATTGTCTTTTATCGGTGTCTGTTGATCTCCTCCCAGGACAACAACATTCGCTTCTGTTTTCATGTTGGGTTTGCTTCAATCAAATCAACGTTTAACAGATCGTCAGTAAATGTAGGAGCCTAACAAAGTCACATTTAGATTTAAAGCCTCTATTGTCGGTCAGTCTTCTTAGAAATCTCACATAAAATCTCAACATAATCTCCCACTATATAACAGAAGTGAAATGTCAAATGATTCTAAATTGTATCAGCTCTCAGTAATAGCATATTTTAAGTTATTATGTTTAACAGTAGCGTATCTCCCCTTATGAACAGTAAAATAGAAAGCCTTTAGAATATATTGAAAGTACAGGTTATAATGGAGAAACTCAGTGCATTGAAAGTCAATCATTGAAACTAAAGAGTCCATCTGTAATTTTCAACCGGCACAGCTGCATGATGGTGGTTCTAAAATGAGCCGTGAACAGCAGAAGTCAGTCAGTCTTGGGCCTGTGGGCTGTGTCTATGTGCATGTCTGCATCATGGCTCCACATGGAAAAGAAGTGAACAGAGGAACTGAAAACTCTGACTGTGAGACTTCACATAGATGGAAAATGATTCAGGAAGTTCAACAAAAAAAATCAGTGAAACTCTGTTGCAGCAGTAATCAAGAGGTATAGAAGGAGTAATGGTGCCACTAATCAGAGCTGCAGTCCTCCTAAAATGACTCCACGGACTACTTTCACAATTCAGCTCTTATAAAACAGACGGCAGCTGCTTCAGACTTGGAAAATCAGAGTTTCTGTGACGCTCACACAGTGTGAAGGACGTTCGCTTGCTTGCTCTTTGACACAAAAGATTAAAGTTTGCTCGCGAACATGAAAAGAATGTTGGGAGCACGTTCTTTGGTCAGATGAGACCAGGATAAATCTGTTGGGTTCTGATAGACTCCAGCATGTTTGATGTGAACCTGACCAGGACTATAGCAGCGAATGCATCGTCCTGACAGTGAAGCACGGAGGTGGCAGTATCATGATATGAGGCTGTTTGGGTGCGAAACGTGTCGGGGAGATGACATTTCTAGATACACAATGAATGTCTGTAGATTAACCAGAATGCTGGCTGATAAGATGCCTCTCAGTCTGCAGTTCTCTTGAAGAAGCAGCGTGATAACCATCCAAAGCAAACTGCCAAAATCACACAAGAGGGAGAAAAAAAATCACACTTAGGAAAAACTACTACCTGGATAAGTACTGACTTGAATCCAGTAGAACATCTTTGGGGATATTTTAAAGAGAAAGGTAGAAGAACACAACTCATCCAGCAAAGAGCAGCTAAAAAAAAAAAATGTGCAGAAATGTGGTATCATCTAATACTGAGGAGGATTGAAAAATACAGGTGAGTTAAGACTAAAATGTGAGTAATGACAAGTACTGATTTCGCATTAACTCTCTACTTGGGGGGGCTGCATTTTAATTGAGTAGATCCAAACGGTTAGATTTAAATAAGCACAAATATTGTTCAACATAATGCAAACACTGAGGTTACACAATGTTGAATCATTTGACTTTTAAGCGATAATTCACAGCAATGTATTCACTTCTGTTGTCAGCTTTAAAAGAGCTGCTCGGAGACATGATGTTAGCTTTCAAGCAGCCAACTCGAGCTGAACTAAACTAATTTCTGTTGATAAGGTATGAATCAGGGCGGAGTGGAGGCCATTTATGGAGTTGCAGTGTCTAAACAAAACTAGCTTAATAGATGTGAGGTTTTCCTGCTTTGGGGCAGAGCTTGATGTAATGCTTATGTAAACCTCAAATCAAAGCCACACATCCTGAGTATCCCGATTTCCTCCCAAACAACTTTGGAGCGATTCAGTTTGATATACAAAAAAAAAAAGGCGGATTTGGCTTCAAATCACGGAAAAACATTCAGTTTTCACTTTGCTATCTGCAGCATTAGACACATTTTTCATCTATTTGTGGTCATTAGTGATGCGCTTTATGGATATTTTAGTGCTTAAGTGACACGAGGAATACTTGAAGCACCCTTACATTGCGAACCACTTTTGTTTTTCTTAAAATGAGACAGTTTATCATTGTTTATTAGCGCTAATAAATGTGTTCCCCCCCCCAACATTTACAACAAGGAGCTTCTGTTATGCAAAACTGCAGATCAGGACTGAACATGTGATTGTGGTCATTCGGCGCCACTGACACACTGAATTTCACGTCACATTTTGGGTTTTAAAAGAACAGTCTGCGGCTCTGTTTCCCCTTTTTCCTTTAAATACAAACGCTACCTTCAGATTTAAACTTAACTGAACTTTTTTTTTTTCCACGTAGGAATTTGAGGAAACTTGCTTTTCCAGCGTTGCGTGACTAAGCTTTCGACAACAACCGTGTTTCTTGGAAAGTGACAAAAATAGAGACGTCGTCTTGTCTCGGAGACGATGAATGATATCTTGTTTGCATTTTAATGTGTGTCTGAGGAATCTGAAAGCGGTGAACAGCTATGATGACCAACCTTACTGTGGTTCTTTTAAAGACACCAGTTTACACCCTGTTGCTTGTGGTTGGCTTTTCATTAAGTTTGGACTTGTGCAATAGAGACAATAGAGCCTGTTTGAAGGCTCGATTATTGTCTGTGGATCCTTGAAAGATGCTTCAAATTTAACATCTAAGACCATAAAAAGCTCTGAACAAGAGAAACTATGTTGACCTACATCATGCATGTTGCATATTGAAATACAAAATCAGTTGTTCTGCAGTAAATCCTGACCCATATTACGATTTTTTTAACATTTGTAAATCTGATGTGTCGTCATGTATTGACAGTATATCGCATTAAATATTGTGATTATTATAATTCAGTAAATGCAATCAGGTTTTGTACAGAAAATATGAATTAGAATTTCAGTGCCAACAGTTAATCCATTCGTTTGCAACCATTAAATGAGTAGTTGAATTGTGAAACTAACTGGGCGGCTGTGGCTCAGGTAGTAGAGCAGGTTGTCCTCCAATGGCAAGGTTCGATCCCCTGCCCCTCCACAGTTGAAGTGTCCTTGGGCAAGACACTGAACCTGAAGTTGCTCCCAGTGGCAGGCAGCACCTTGCATGGCAGCTCTGTCGCCATCGGTGTGTGAATGTGTGTGTGAACGGGTGAATAAGAAACACACTTTGGATAAAAGCGCTCTATAAGTGCAGAGCATTCAGCATTTAATTGACTGATTAATCAACAGTAAAGATAATGAGTTTGAGCTCAAGAGTAATTAACATCCAAAAAGTTCTTAGGAGAAACTATTTTGACCTGCATTATGAATTTTGCATATTTCAATACAAAATCTGCAGCAAATAAGAACCCAGATTACACGTTAAATCTGTGATGTTTTATGTGCGTTGCATAATGGTGGCACACAGAACGTTACAGTCAATATTTCCAGTCGTATACTTTGTTATCCAGATGCACAATTTTGCGTGGAGATGTGTACCAGCTTGGGAAAATATCAATTTTAATTAATCCAGCACCAAGTATTCAATAAGTCGTCAACTATTAAAATAATCACCAACTATTCTGATTAATTGGTTTGAGTACATTTTAAAGATAAAGTCTAAATTCTGTTACTGTAGCTTCTTAAATCTGAATATTGTCTTTCCTCCTCTGTGACAGTAAACTGAATATCTTTGGTTTGAGGACAAAACAAGACATTTCTATCGTTAGCTTTGGTAAACAGTAATTGACATTTTTTGCGATTGTCTGACAATTTATAGATTAGACAATTAATTAAAAAAGTAATCCACAATTTAATCGACAATATAAATAAATCTAACCTCCAGCCTCAGAGTAAACAGAGTCCAAAACATTCTTAAAAAGAGAAACTATCTTGACCTACATCATGAATTTTGCATATTTAAATACATAATCAGTTATTCTGCGGTAAATAATGACCCAGATTACATGTTGATGTTATTTTAATTTGAAATCTGTGATGTTTTAACCACAGGACGTTGCTGTAAATATATTTATTGGCGTATTTTCATAACAGTATGTTAGATTTTATGGGGAGATGCTTGTCAGCATGTGAATAATTTCAATATTAACATGGAGACGGATTTAAAACGTGTCACCCAGGACTGTTGTGCTTTAGTTCTGGTGTGGAAGCCTGTTCAGCTTTCTTCGTCGAGGCCTTAATAAGCACTAAATTTGAATTTCAAAGAGCGTTGCGGAGTGCAGAGCGATAGAAAAAGAGAAGGAGATTGACGTGATAAAGGTCCCTGCTGGATGAGAAGAACATCAGTCACATCAGAAAGGTTTTAATCAGCTGTGCTTCTCTCTCTGCTCTGTAAAAACTGTAAAATCCACAGTTTTGTGATGGCTTGTTTTTCTGAGTCGCTGCAGGCCTCCAGCCTTGGACTGAACACCATCAGGCCACCGAGTGCCACATAATGTATAATTGGAAATTGGTTCAGTGCGTTTTGAAGAGATGCTGGGTCAGGGGGCGGGAGGCTGGAATCTGTCTGCTCGTCTAGCACACATCTAGTGTGTTTTTAAAAGGAACCAGCCTGGCAGCGCTGCATTAAACCGGGTGAATCACGGAGGCCCGGTTCTGTTCCGGCTCTGACACTCACACATTAACCCCATTACGGAGCCGAGTGGCGGCGGTCGATGGCGGCGGCTCCGAGTGCAGCTTCAGATTACAGCCAGAGGCCGCGTTTAGTCGCA